CGTTCTGAGGGGGTCTGTGGGTTTGGCATGCTTTTTGTTTGGAGTTTATAGTGGTTCAGGCTTTTAGGCATACACAGGTCTGTTGTTTGATGGTTAAGGTTGGACAGGGTTTTGATGGTTGTGGCCTTTGAAACGTTGGTTTTGGCCTTGAGACTTGCAAGGTTTACAGGTTGTGGCCTTGTGTGAGTTTATGCTTCAGTAGGTTTTTGAGGCTTTTGGCATGGCTAAGGCTTAGCAGGTTGGGTTGTGGTGAACTAGTTTTGGTTGTTTATGTTTTTGTGGCCTCAGTTTTGGGGCTTCAGCAGGTTTAATGCAGGCTTCTACTGATTTTTGGTTTCTATGTTGCAGTTTGAGTTTAACTGCAGGTTATAGGCTTGTATGGTTTTTTGGATCTTTAGGCTTGGACACATTTTGTGTTGCAGGCTTGAGATTATGGCCTTTGACAGGTTGTTCCAAGTTTGAATGGTTAGGCTTCAGGTTCTTATGCAGGACCTAGAGGCTTTGGGTGGAAGTTGGTAACTGGTTTTACAGGTTTTTATGCTTTGGCTTTAGTTTGGATGGTGGTCTTGACTTTGGCTTTTCTACTTTTTTTTTTGGACCTGCTGTTGCAGTTTTGTATATTTATTTATCTTCTCCTTTTTTTGTGGTTTCCCCCCCCCCCCCCCCCCTTTTGTCCACTGTGTTATTGCAGTTGTTTTATATTTGTTTCTCATGCCTAAAGCCTTAAGCCTGCAAACCTGCTTTTTCTCTCTTCTTTCTCTCTCCAGTACACTTCAAAAATATTTAAAATATGTTTTATGTGTACTTAAAGCTGAAAGGGAAACACTGGGAAATGATGCAAATGGATTATGTTGCTTGCACATGTGGTCTAATTCTGCACTTTATGTCTTCTCTTCATATTTGCATATCTCTTTTGACAGCTTCTTGTACTTTTGTATCTTTGATATCTTTGATATCTTTGGCAGCTTTTTGGATAGTTTGGGATTTGTGATTCAGTTTGGACTTGTGGTTAGACCATCCTGTTTGTTTTGAAATATGCAGCATGTTGACAAACTTTGCATTTTTTTTCACTTTGTGCATTCCAAGTTAGTAAACAAATATTCATCCCTCTTTGTGAACCGGGAGAAATCCCGTGATTTGCAGAGAGGGCCAACTGATCCCAGTCAGTTGCCCTTAATGATGAACTTTATTTTTATCTGTCTCTCTTATTTATTTATCTGCTATTGACTTTTCTTTCTCTTTTGTTTCGCAGATAAAATTCCATGGAGCACTGGAGCAAGGGATAGCAGATGAAGAATTGAAGATTAGAAAAATGTTTAGGATAGTTTTTTTATTTATATTTAAATAAATGTAAAATCATTGTTGTAAACAACAAAACAATTGTACAATTAATTTAAAAATCAATAAAAGTTTCTTTATCCAATTAATTCTTTTTCCTCCTTTTTTTTAATTGTTCGTTTTATTATTTATAATTCTTTAATTATAATAATTGAAAATAAATTCCAATCATTTAATCTTAGAATAATAAATAATTAAATAAACAATGCTTCAGCATTTGATCAGTTAAACCTGGCGTTTCAAACATCCAGAGCAAAACAACAGTCAATCACAACAATTGCCCAGACGCTTTTTCCTTTACTGACTTTAATCAAACATTGCAAATTCAAGCCCAATGCAACCTTTTACTGATTCAGTCAAACAAATGCGAATTCAATCCACATCCCATCATAACTTGAAAAGCACTGTAGGATTTAAATCTTTCCGAGAACGCGTGCACAAAAACCCTAATTCCTGATTAAATGCCAAAGAAGCGTTCGCCTGATCGAAGTTGAGCCAAAATCAACCAAAACCCTAAGCCAATTGTGTGAAACATTCTAGAGCCCTGAAAATCAATAAAACCCTAATTGTGTCTGACTGACGAGAAAAGTCTGTTTGACCGATTCTTGAGCCAGTTGAAAAATTAGGAAACGCCTGAAGCTGTGATCTCTTGTGAAAAAATGCGAGGGCAAATTTTGGGGTACAACAACGCTGTTCTAGGTAACTGTTATGATTTGATTAAAATATCACGCTTTCCCCTCACTTTTCAATATCATTAAATGCTAAGTCATGATTAGATTCTTTTTATTTAAAATTTTATTAAATACTCTTTTTACAGTTTTATTTTTAAAACCTATTTCTGAAAAGTCTTCATATAAATACCTATGTAAAAAAACCCTTCTCACTTTTTACCTTCTCTTTCAAAACTCAACCGTCTCTGTGGATTTTTCTCTGAAACCCATTTTTCTTCTCTCAACCTAAGTGCTCCAATAGCTTCCTCCTCTACTCATTATGAGAACACCCAAGCTGAACAGTACGTCATTCCTGAGAGAACCACACTCATTCCAGTGGATAGATTAGAGGTTATAAGTGAATTAATGGTGGACTTTGAGAATCTTAAAGCAAATGGATTTGATCTTCTTCCTTCTGTGGAATTTCAAGGTTGGGGAAACTTCTTTGACCGTCTAGTTGGTCTTGTTTTTCCACACCTTGTTAAAGAATTTTGGATACACTCAATTGCTTCTCCAAAAGTCATCCTCTCTTTTGTGATGGGTAAGGAAATCTCCATTACTAAAAATCTCATCAGGAAACTTCTAGGTTTTAAAGGAACTGGAGTAATTGGAATCTCTAGTGGCAGAATGGAAATGTCAAAGGTTTATGCAGAAATTTTTACAAATGGGCAAGCGTCTTCAAAGGTCAGAGATTTGAAAAATAAGTACAAAATCTGGGCAAGAATCATCCATGGTTGCATTCATCATAGGAAGGAAACAAGTTCTCTAGACTATATAAATGCTGACCAATAATACTTGTTGTTCTGTCTTGGAAAAAATGTTAAGATTGATTTACCCTATCTCTTGTTTGATCATCTCTGGGGTCATGTCAAAGAAACGAGAGAAGCAGAAAGAATGAAGAACCCTAAATCCAAAAGGAATTGGATTCCAATGGGGAGATTGATTGAAGACATTCTAACTGAGAATTGTCTGATTGCTCACCTGGATGAAGCAAATCTGCTGGGGGAGTTAGAGCCTACTTGTGGAAAGGCTCTGACTGGAAAGAACTTGGTGAAGAGGAAGATTATTGACAAACTGCTGATAGAACCAACTCCTTTTGTTTCAGAAACTGTTAAGAGAAGGAGGATACCAATTGTTGATTTTCCACTGTTCAACTCAGGAGATCATCCTTGCATCATCCTGCATTACGTTCAGATTTGCAAGGAAAGTGGAACACCAATTGATCCTGCTTGGCTTCAAGGAAGACATGAAGCTGCTTCATACGTTGTTCTTCAGCAACCATTGAAGAGGAAAGCATTTGAAGGACCATCTGCTAGACCTCTGGAGAAGAAGAAAAAATCAGGTACACCTGCTGAAACTATTACTGTTTATGATTCTGTTAATATATCTACATCTGCTGAACCCCAAACCTTAGGTGACATAGATATTGATATAGACCTGACCATACCCTCTAAACCTCTTGCTGAAAATCCTCAAAGAAATCAAGTTTTATCAAACTTGAGTGATTTTGACTCTGATGATTTCTCTGAAACCCAAATAGAACCATCCCAATCAGAACCATCTCAATCTATTCCTGCTGAAAATCTTTCTAGACCTCCTCCCAAACCTTTATCACCCAGACCTACTGGATGGTATGATGCTGGCTCTTGGAGAATACCAGGAATCAACGAACCTCTGGCCACTCTAAAGCCACCATTCACCCTACCTTCTGAAAATATCTTTGCCATGAACAAAATACAAAATCCTACCCTCACTACTGATAACACAA